GCCCGCGGCCGGCGGTGACGTGATGGGCAGCGCGTGGCGCAGGAGGAAATTCTGATCCTGACGTTTCGTTGAGGGCCTCTAAGGGGCTTTGGTGTCTCTGGGAAAGCACAGCCTTGGCTGCGGCGGTTGGAGCGTACGAGGGTGTTGGAAGGGGCAAGCTGCCACATGGGTTGATCTCCATCCCTTAAGTTGTTGGTTCATTGTGACACTGAGTCTCGTTTGATGCCTTTACACTCACCATTCTTACGGGTCTAGTGTTTGAGTACTAAAACTGCGTTTTACTGTGCTGCCGTTGCTGCTTATACTCTCTCTCTTGATCCTCCATAAAGCTCCTTTATTTTGATGATCCTTCGTGGCCTCCCTGCATTTTACAGCTGTGGCCTCTCTTTGTTACCTTTGTTCATGTGTGAATTCATATCCTTTCCAAACATTTAGCCTCCTTTTTATTTATCTGTTTTATTTTTAATGACCCTGACAACTTTGATTCCAGTTCATCTGAAAGAAACAAACCAACCCACCAAAAAAAAAGAAATGCCACCCCAAAATCCGTGTAACTTTTGGCTTTGATTTTTGTTTGTGGTTTTTTTTTTTTCAAATGCAGATTGTATTTGCGTAGATTTGTACTCCAGTTTACTCAGCTTGGTTTGTTAAACTGCAGTATTGGTTTTGCTGAGTATTACTTGGATTGGCTCTCGGTCTAGTGACCAAAAATTGTACCTAGTCTCGTACTCAATTGGTAAAGCTCGACTCCACATCTTTAATGTACCTGATAAATATATTGTATGTATGTACAATATTTCATGTTGTTCACATATATACATATATTGTACCTGTGTAGATAAATGGCTGGAAACTCTGACCCATAATTGCATTTCTGTTAAGTGTTTGTCTAGAGTATGGATTTGGTTTCATTTATTTTAAATAATATTAGCCGAGCAATTGGTCACATTTAATCTTAAGAGTCAAATAACTTTTGAATTTGCTATTTTGTAGATCTTTTTCGATACCAAGTGTTTCTGCTTTTACAGCTTTTACTGCCAGTCAGTAAATGCTTTCAGCATATTTTCTAATTCCTCAGATCTGTAATAAATGTATTCTTGACAGGCTGGGTTTTTACCCAAAAGAAATTTGATCAGCAAGCCTGGAACAAAAGAGCTTTTTTTTTTCTTTTCTCCTCTCCTAAGCAATGCAAATCAAATCCAAATTCTTAAATTTGAAGCCTATACGAATGTAGCACTTGGTAGCTACTCCATCAGTCCCCCCCCAAATTCTGAATTTGACGCCTGAGGTCTTGTTAGCGATGTATAAAATGAGACCGAATGCTAATCTGTGCTTTGCCTTGGCTTTCTGCTCTGTGTTGTCTTGGTGTTTGCGTCTTACCTCTTACGTCTGTGCTGTTTGTTCCCTCCCCTGTTCTCTAATCCTGCCCTCCCCTCCCCTCTGTTCCTCTTCATTGTCCACACTTTGACCCATCAATCAACCAACAACGCCCCCCTTTTCGTCGTGGTGATCTGCCCTGCTCTGGTTGGTGGCTCCGTGCTTGGGTGGCTGTGTGTTGTGCTGGACCAGTTCACCCAAATATGGCCTTCTTGCTGACAGGTATCACTTCTGTGAGAAGTGTTTCACTGAAATCCAGGGGGAGAATGTCACCCTGGGTGATGACCCTTCCCAGCCTCAAACGTAAGTCGCCGCCTTTCTTCTGCGTGATGCCTTTTGCAGGGGTGGGGAGGAAAAGGGAAGGGGGGGCGGGAGTGGCCTTAATTTGATAGTAAGGAGCGGTGACTGGGGGGGAGATGCTTCCCGTCTTACTAGTAAGGGGGGTGGATGCTGAGTCAGTAAACGTCACTAAGCCGTTACCTGTTTAAATGGAAGGCTTGGGCTAACCCTCACGTCTCGCCTTTTGAAGTACAGCTTTTGTTTATGAAACCAAGGGCTTGTCTCTAACCTGACCAGAAAATGAGATGCTCTGAGCTTTGAGGAGTACAAGCTGTTTGGGAAGGTGGCTGCTTTACTGACAGTAGCTTCCCTTGTTCTTTGTGATTTCAAATTTGTGTGTGTGCCGGGGTATCTCTTATTTTGCTGTTAATTTACACAGAAAGTGAAACGGGAAGCATATTTTTGTGTAGCTTAAAATAAACTTAATTGCTTTCTCTGAATAGAAAATAAATACTGGTTTGATTTCTTCTGACTTGAGGTTTGCTCATTTGTTGCAATTCAGAAAAGAACGATATTGTCTCAGCCTCTGACATAAAGGTACTACTGAGTTTTATTATTAACTTTTTGTCCCTAGAACCATCTCTAAGGATCAGTTTGAAAAGAAGAAAAATGATACGCTAGATCCAGAGCCGTAAGTACCAGACTGTTGCTTGCCTTAAGAGAGTCGCATCACTTTAGCTTGTCCTTTAGCCAGCGCTTCAGAAGTTGGGCAGTGAATAAAGAAGTCTCCCTTTTTCCCCACCTCTGCCCGTGCAGGCTGCAGAATCTTCCTCTGGAGGTCGAGCTTAATATCTGTTGTTGCTGTCCAAGAGGAAGAGTCAGCCTGTTTCAATGGCAGCTTCTAGTTCTGTGGTTTTGGGTCATTCCCAAGGTGTGTAGTCAAGGCACTGCGCAACAGCCCAAAAATGGCGCCAAAATGGCCTCGTGCAGAGCCTTCCACACACACCCGCACCCTCAGTACCTGTGGGGGGACTTCAGCATTTTCCCCTCCTGATTTAGCCTCCAAAGCACGTTTTTATCTCCACCCGAGTGCTTAGCCCACGGAAAAGAGCCATCCTTCTTCCTTGCGTGTATTACCTGCAGAAAGTTCAGCAGAAGTCAAGTTGAACATGTCTTCAGTAGCACTGTGCTGCTTTTCCTGCTGCCCTTAACAACTGAAACGAGTCTTCATCTTCCTGCTACTTTGTTTTCTGGCTGTTTGAATTGTATTACATTTTGATTCCTTCTCTCATCTTTGCAAATACTTGGTGGAGCTCATCCCCCAGACCCTTAAAGGTCGACTGCTGAGATATACCCCAGTGTGTTTGATTTCATAACCAATATAGTCTTGACTGGGAAAACTTCTAACAATTTTCTCATTCAAAAAAATAATTTGGGCATACTATTTTGACAAAAAAAAAAAAAAAAAGACTACAGCAGACCTGTGCAGGCGAAGACAAGCTAATACGTGTTTTCTTGGCACAGTGATTCATGAGTGACTAATTTTTACATTTACAGCAAGTTGAGCAACCATTTAGTCAACTTGTGGTCATTGCAGCAATTGAAAATTCAATCTGTAGAGGTACTGTAGAGCAGAATTCCTTGAAACTGGGAAAACTCAAAACTCTGCCCAGAAAAGGATAAAAAAGGTCTAGCAAAAGTTATGTTTGAAAGCCCATCTCATATTTTTAAGCTATAACATTTTACATTTTAGATATATCTATCTTATTTGCACATGAGATTGATAAGTGTATATCTGAAGCTATTCTGATACGTATTTTTTTTTTAAGCTGACATATAAATTGAGCTGCTCTTCATCCAGTTCTTAGCAGAGGAGGTTAGAAAGTCCCTCTTCCATTGTGAGTTCTGGAGAACTACGCGCCTAACAACAGAAATGATCGACTGTTGTTTTTCTTCTCAGGTTTGTTGACTGCAAAGAGTGTGGTCGGAAGATGCACCAGATTTGTGTGTTACATTATGATATTATTTGGCCTTCAGGGTAAGATGCTTGTTAGTTTTTTAACCTTTCTACAATAACACCAATGCAGTTTTTGTAAATAATTTCTGCCTTGGCTCTTTAATAGGCAATGACTGCCTTTTAAGAACTGAGTACAAAAGGACAAAAACCTTTCTAAATGAAATACATTTTTGGTGTTTGGGGTCTCATTTCAGTATATTCAGATGAAAATGTGCATGAAACCAACTTGTTCGTATACACAGATTTCTGCAGTTTCTTTCTAACTGCCAAACAATGGAAGCTGGTTGGAGGTGAGTTTGTGCACTGCAGAACACAGATACAGGTGTAACTGTGTGGCAGAGTTAAACCAGCTTATAAAGACTTGTAAGTCCCTTGAAAATGGAGAGATACAGGCTGTTCAGATCCAGAGAAAAATGTGTTGTACTCTGACGTTTAAATTATGGGTTCAGACACTGGCCTTAAGCTAGCCAATGCTTACGCTAAGTTCTTGGCAATTTTGTTTTCTCTATAGGTTTGTCTGTGATAATTGTCTGAAGAAAACCGGTAGAACACGCAAAGAAAACAAATTCAGTGCTAAAAGTGAGTTTGACATTTCTGGTTTTATCTTTAACTTTCGTCTTCTTCCTGCCACCCTCAAGAGCTTTTTGATTGAGGCTTTCTGCTGTCGTGATAGACAGCACAGGAACATTTGCAAAACGGGGAGTAGTGTAGCCCAGGGCTTTGGTGTGGCTCTCAGAATTTTAATCATCATTTTAAAGACTTGCTCTTCATGTGCTCATGGTCAGTCTTAATGCTACTTGAGGTATTTGACATCTATGTCCTTACTTTTTGAAGATTTTGTTTAAAAAGGGATGGGGGAACAGAACAGGAGAAGCATAAGGCTGCACGCACTTCACTGGCTATATTTAGACATGTTCCCATGTCATGTTGAAACTGTAGTAAATGACTGTCACCCCTGTGCCCTTCAAATAACGTGTAGTAACAAGTTGTGCTATGTTTCAGGTGTAGTGCCGAGTACTAACGTATCTGAAGTGCTTTTCTTGCTTCTAGAGTGGACTGTGGTGTAAGGACTGTCTGCTGGAGTAAGGACCCAGTTGTACTACACGTCTAGATTACAGCCGTTGTTGTAATCTTGCTGAAACGTGCGCCACAGAGAGTGCTGAAAGCTGCCGGGTCGAGTTGTCTCAGTCTCCTTAGTAATCCCTAGGCGGGCGTTCTTCGCACAACTCGATAGCTTGTACCATACACATTTGGGGCAGGGGAAGGAGTTGGAGCTAGTCTTGGAAAAGCAGTGTCAGTGGCACGAAGTGACAGAAATACAGGGAGTGTTGTAGAAGCCAAGAGAGGGTGATTCAGGTACTTGAACAAAGAGAACGGACAGGTAACGCTTGATTCCTTCCCTGTTCCTTGCTCCCTGGAAGTTCTGGGCATTACCTTGTCGTGCTGTGACTTCATAAGCCAGAATCTTCCAAGTGGTAATAAAGGAGTGGGGTTTGTGTTTGTTTTTTTTAACTTCTTGGTAACTTTGTGTGTGGTTGATTGCATAATAAGAGATTTGAAAGGGGGATAGTTTGGAGATGGTAATGCTCTATGAGACATATTGGGTTACAGTAAGCAGAGCGGTCTTGGGAGTACGTGTACCTGACACGTACGAGGTAGTATTGTTAAAAAGATTGAGATTAGTCTCGTTAAAGACAGATTAAGATTGTAAAAGAACATGAATAAAATGATAAGGCTGTAGCTTTAGATAACCATTTGAAATAGATGTCTCTTCTGTCATATGCTGACTTCACAGCATATATTGATGTAAATTATCCTAAATAAGTACGCGATTCCTTGGACGTCTGCAGTTGTTCTGTGACGTTGCCTGCAGTTTGAGTAACCAGCCATGTAGTGCAAGGTAGCCCTTCTGTTCTTTGGGGATCTGCACAGGGAAATATTGGCGTTGGTTTTTCCTTTCATTGATCACCTTTCTCTGCTGCTTGGCTGTCTTCTTTTCTTTTTCCTGTGTTGATTTGAGTCCCGGTGCCAGCTATAATCCACTGGTGGGCTCAGCAATTGAGATCAGTTTTCTTTAACACCGCTCTTGTGAAAACACAAGAACAGGGAGGGAAAGCCTGCTCCTGTCATCAAAACCTTGGTCTTACTGGTGACCTACAAACATGAACAATGGAAGTTTGCAACATTAACGTGTTTCCTCTCCTCCTCCCTCTCTGTAAAAACCTTTACTTACTGAATTGCCACCAATATTTCTCTGCTCCCTGAAGCGTGCTGGCACAACTGCTAAGAATCAAGATAGCTGTGGCTCAGCTGTTATGGTAACGGTCGTATTCCTAATGTATATTAAGTAAAATTGATTATCCTAACCACACTGCAAGTAAGTTGCACAGAGCTGACTGACGGTGTGCCCAATATAACCTGTGAAGCAGCGTACAGCTGGATTATTCTGTGAAATCCCTGATTTTTGAAGTGTTTTTCTTGCTAAGAAAATATCGCTTAAGCAGTAGGTAGTGCAGAGACACGCAAAGACAAGATACCGTGACGAGTAATTTGCCCAAAGTAGTTTCCTGACAAAAAGCCAGAGTAAGCCAGGAGTTTGACTTTCTTCCTATCTGTCAGGTTACTCATCCGGTAACAAATGTCAGTCTGTGGCTACTGCAACAGAACTCGTGTACTCCAGCAGCCTGAAAGCCTTCTGTGTTACTGGTTTGGATGCTTTTTTTCAAGTTTGCTCTGCACGTTTGTTTGAGACCTGAGCTCTCACTGGAGAATATATGTGTTAGAGGTGTCCAAGAACCAAAATCTGGTTGGTTTCTACAAGAACTTGCACATTCTAATATATCAAAATACAGGGTGTTTAGATCCTTTCCTTACTGTGCATATAATCTTAATGCTACCTGCTTGTTTTACCTTCTTATCTGGTCTTTTTTTGTTTGTTTTTCAAGTTTTAATGTGTTGCAGCCTAAGGAAGGAAGCAGATAACTGTGGTTGCTTAGCATTGGAAAGATGATAAAAGGAAGACACAAAGACAGTAGAGTTAACTAAAATGGCTTTTTAAAAGTGTGGCAACTCAGCTGAATTGGAGCCATTTCAGTTTTTCTGTTCGTCTTCAGAGAAAATAATTTCTTCAGAATTTCCTTTAAAATCATAGAATCGTAGAATGGCATAGGCTGGAAGGGACCTTAGAGATCATCTAGTCCAAAATCAACGCCCTTCTTCTATATGTGGAAAGCCCAGTGTGTTGTATCAGGCCAGGAAACACTGGGAAAGGCCAATGTAATGGAACTCATTCGCGTATTTTTACCTGAACCTGCCTTTAAACTTAATTCTTGGCTCCCAGGTAGGTGTTGTTTAGACTGTATCGTGCTGGTTACAACCACAAAATCTCACTGGACAAGGTGACAGACTGCAAGATGCAAAACAAGATTGACGCTTTCTATAAACTGATTGTAAAACAAAATTTGAAATACGTGAATCCCTTAGAAAGTGAGATCTTCCTTCAAGTGACTATTTTTCCCCAGTATTGGAGCCTAAAATAATTTTTAGCATAGATGTTTCACTGCAGCGTTCTGTATGCAAGCTTAGTAGTTCAGGAAGAACAACCAAGAGCCTTTTGTCAGTAGCCAAATAACAACTGAAAAATGAAGCAATAGAGAGCTGAAAATTTAAATGCACTTTAGTAAAATGAGCATCTGTAGATTGCACCCTCGCTCTGGCAAAGATAGCAGATTGACCGTAAAAATGAGGTAGAAGTGCTATTTGGTAAAATAAGTACGGCAGGGTAAGAGAAACAGTCATAAATCTTCAAGCTGAAACTGTGCTACTTCTGTTTTCTTAATTTAAACCAAAATCTTCATCTTAATTGCTGTAATTTGTCTTGGATTTATTTGAAAACCATCACATCCTGTAACACCTGAAAAAGCCCGATCTCCACAAAAGCTAATTGTAAGTATAAAGACCACGAGAGGGGATCTGGACAATATGTGGACTTGAACTTTTAAAGACCTCTATCACTGTGCACGAACTATTTAAGCTTTATGTGCAGGTTACTGTAACTGTTCAATCTAAAAGCTCTCTTGAAAAGAAGAGAAAAGAAAAAGCAATGAAATCTCCATTGAAGTCAAAAGGCTTTTCATTTCTGTTGATTTGCTTTGCTTTGCTTGAAAAGGTGTGGCCTGGAGCCAGATCTATAAAGTGATGTAATCTCTGTCAAGCGGCCAGAGAGTGGTTTTGTTAGGAGAAAACATTTGCAGTGTTCATAAAATAAGCCCACAAATTTAAAAACGCCATGGAAAGCCTGCTTTGTTAGTTCGCTTACTCAGTAATTTTCCCACTCTGGCGGTTTTAGTTTCTGCAGTAGGGTATGAACACTTCAGGCTTGGGTAAAAACGTGGCTGGCTTTGCTTCTTTACTTTTGGCTGCATAAATAAAAACATCAAATTTTCATACGGAGGTGAAAGAAATGGCGAAAAAAACCCCTATTTTTACCCAGAGAAGTAAACTGAAAGCCCGAAGGAGCATGGTAACACCCTGAACCTAACGGCGATTTCTGCAGTATTAACGTTTCCGTTGTCATGTTCTCCCCTTTCATTTCTAGGGCTACAGACTACGCGTTTAGGAAACCATTTGGAAGACAGAGTAAACAAATTTTTGCGACGACAGAATCATCCTGAAGCTGGAGAGGTCTTTGTCAGAGTAGTGGCAAGTTCAGATAAGACGGTAGAAGTTAAACCAGGAATGAAATCCAGGTTAGTTGCATTAGTTACAATAAATGTGGTCTTGGTCAGGTTTTTTATTATTATTATTATTATTAAAGTCTTCCTGCATAAATACTTCAAAACTGTGCCGGTTAGCAGCTTAATCCCTTTGCACATATTGCAAATTTAGGATTATGAGAGGTGAAAAAAGGCAGTAAATGAACTCGGAGGAGGTGACTTTTGTGTTTTGTCTGGGGGCGGGGAGATGGGGGGGATTTTGGTTATAACACTACGACTTTGCATCACTACATCCCGAGAGGGCGGCTGACCACATTTTGGTTAGCATTACAGGATTTTTCGTTTAGTTTGGAACAGCTGCCGAGATTCTGTTCCTTACTGTTCCTTTGTGGTGGTTTTATAAATACTCGAGCTTTCAGGAGTTATTTTTAATTTGCTTAATCATAAATAAAAAGCTTTAAAGGTTTATTCTGTGAAATATTTTGGCTTTAATTCCTAAAGGCTGTTGACGTGACGTCGCTAAATGGTAATGCAGCAGGTTTTCTGCTCTGCTTGTGGTTTCTGAGGATGCTTTTGTACTCCGTGCTTGCCTCTTCAGTCTGAAGTGAATTACACAAAACCTGTCTTCTCATGAGTTTCATAGTAACAGGACTCTCTGTTTTAATATATCTCTGATCTGACCCTATTTAACTGCTGCATAAATATTTCTGCTGAGTTGATAGTAAGGTTGAAAAGAATTCCCTGATCCTGGTAGGACATTAGTTTAATAATTGGCTTTTTTTTTTTTTCATTTTCCCCCTCCTACCCTTTCCTTCAGATTTGTGGATTCTGGGGAGATGTCGGAATCCTTCCCTTACCGCACCAAAGCTCTGTTTGCGTTTGAGGAGATTGACGGAGTAGATGTGTGCTTCTTCGGCATGCACGTGCAGGAGTACGGCTCGGACTGCCCCCCGCCCAACACCAGGTACTCCTCCATTGCGGTGCCGCTGGCACGTGCGCAGAGAGAACATCTCGCTGCGTTCTCTGGACAGCCGCTCTCAAATGCGGAAGATTGGGAGATAACGTTTATTCTGTGGCACAAACAACTCCCACTACATGACTGCAGATGATTTTTAAGGAGAAAACAAATACCGTGACATAAATGTTACATTTTTTTGTATTGTGTATTTAATTTTGCTTCTCTGCGTGTTCTTGCTGCCTACAGAAATGCTACCAATCTTTTGCTTCTGAGAGCTCTTTATGCCAAGTTGAGGTACTTCAGTTTGAATTAAAATAATGTTGTGGCTAATTTCTCTTTGTTCAGTATGGCTCTATACATATCTGGTCTGAAAATCAGTTCTGGGTAGACAAAACAGATGTTGTCATACATGATTTTCTATCATTCTTCTCTCATTGCTATAGGCGGGTGTACATATCCTATCTAGATAGTATTCATTTCTTCCGCCCCCGTTGTCTCCGAACTGCAGTTTATCATGAAATCCTCATTGGATATTTGGAGTACGTGAAGAAACTTGGGTGAGTGAGATCTTTGTAAAGAAATAAAGCTTTTTTTTTTTTTTTTTTTAGGATGTGGGGTTTTTTTAATTCAGCCAAATAGCTTTTCACTTGGGGCTAGTCTCTCTCTCTCCTTCTGCCCTCTCTGAGATACATGGAACATGTGCCTCTTCTGCAGTGGAGGGAGGAATCTGGATTTTATCCTTAAGGTCCTTTTTCTGTTGTTAGGATTCTTAAACTGACAATATATTGTTCTTTTCATCAGAGCTTCACACGATGTTTAAGCATAATTGTGATATCCCGAACTTTTTCTTGTCTCATGTATAGATTGAGTTTATTGCCTCAACATCCTTGTTACAAAGAAATAAGAAAAGAAGCGGGGATGGGGGGGAAAGCCAGAGGTCTGAATTTATGTCTTAGTTTGAGTTAAATTTAAAGATGGTATTCAAAAAAGTCAAGATTTTTTTCTTTCTTGTGTGTGAAACACAGGTATGTGACGGGACACATCTGGGCCTGTCCCCCGAGTGAAGGAGATGACTATATTTTTCATTGCCATCCACCTGATCAGAAAATACCCAAACCCAAACGTTTGCAAGAATGGTATAAGAAGATGCTGGAAAAGGCGTTCGCTGAGAGAATCATTCATGACTACAAGGTTTGCTGCTGCTTATTTCCTGAACCGATTTTCACAGGCTTTTAGTGTGAAAGTAGCTAATAACGTTTCAGAACACGTGAAACTGCTGCGATAGTGTAGTACAAGGGTTTTTATTCTCAGCTAGTGTCTTCATTCTCTGAGATTTTTCTGGAGGTTCTGCCTTTCAGACTGAAAATTCCCCAGGTTTGGTTTCTGTGTTAAGAAAGGTATGCAAGAGCCTGCCTTCCCGTACTTGCCTCTCGCTGCAATCTTCAAGGAAAGGCAGTATGGAGCTTGTTAGGCTTTATAGCAGTTGTTTCTTTCTGATTCTGGCGGATGAGGTGGAATACCAGACCCTCGCTAGTGTGAATAAAGAAAAACCTGTTTATAAAACAGCTTCTTCACTCAGAGAGAAAAAGGATGATTTTCCTACTTGGAGGATATCGCACATGTAGCCAAGGAAGTAGGTTAAAGCTGGCAAAGGTAGCATTTGCCATTCCTTACATGGTAAAACACACAAGAGTTTCTCAATGGTAGTGACTGCTTTGAAAAAAAAAGATGTTTTGATTGCAAGTGACAGTTACTAAATGTGTGGAATGGAACAGCGTGTAGCAAACCTTGTCACCTGATCGGGCGTAGCAGAGCTAGAAAATCTGTGTCTCTGCGGTTTAAGATGGTCTTGAAATGAATCTGAAGAAGAAAATTGGTTACTGTTGTATGTACGCGCTGAAAAAAAGACCTCCAGAACCATATAAAGTAGCTGTTCGGTGTAGCTCTGGATCATGTCTCTGGTTCTCCTAAGTGATCTTCACTTCTTGTTGGTATTGTGTGGTAACGCTTCACAGGACATCTTCAAACAAGCAACCGAGGACAGGCTGACAAGTGCCAAGGAGCTGCCGTACTTTGAAGGTGATTTCTGGCCCAACGTGCTGGAAGAAAGCATTAAGGAGTTGGAGCAGGAGGAGGAAGAAAGGAAAAAGGAAGAAAGTACTGCAGCCAGCGAAACAACCGAGGTGAGCTGACTTCACGTGCTGTGGCTGCTGCTGGCTTACCGAGCTGGCAGTTCAGGTTTTAATAAATTAGAGTTCACATCCAGTAAACTAGAAAAGAAGATCATTCACACCAGATGTTAAATCAGGGTTCCCTTGAACTGCATTTCTGGATTTCTCCTTAGGTAACAAATACACCGGTGGCTTGTTGTTTGTGGGGTTTTTTTAACAGAATCAGAAGTCAGTTACGTCTGTTCAGCATCTCTGCTCTCAGAGAAGCGTGTTGAGCTGCTTTTGGATGGCATCAGGACGGCTGCACTTGCTTGCAGTCATTTGGCTGAGCTTCTGCTTCGCACCTTTGCAGATCGCCTTCAGTATTTGCATTTGAAAGATGCTCTGTTTTTCAAAGCTGAATTAAACGTTGCTGCTATTTAAAGCAAGGTGCTTCTAGCTGTTGGTGACAGTAGAGATCTGAAATTTAAAAGTATTGCAAGCTCTGCATCGGTGTGAGACATTGATCCTGGTGGTGGTGATCCTTCGCTGGCATTCTCTTTGTGTATAAAAAACAGATAAAAAAGCCCCGACAACGTAGTTTTTCAGGATCCCGGCGAGAATTTCTTTATTCATTTTTATTTCTGTCTTGATTCTGTCTGTAACCCAAACAGTCTTAGCACTTTTATACTGTCCCTTTTACTTGTGGTTTGCAGCAAGGTTTTTTCTGAAAATAAATACAGTAGGAAAATCTGAAGTCTTAACAGATTGAGGTGGAACTAAAAGCTTTAACTGGGGAAAAACTGCCTTCAGCTTAGATGCTGTGACAGTTTGCACACAGTGTGTGTTACTTGTGATTGGAGTTACAGGCCTTAATCCATCAATTTTGTTGTGTCAGAAAGCTCCTGAGCAGCTCCTTCAAATCTGATACAGTTTGGTGGTGTGGTTCTTATGGAACCGTAAAGTTGATAGTTTTCTCTTTGCTCCTTTGGAATCTAACTTCTGCTGTTGAAGTGTTTCAACAAACTTTAACAGTCTGAAAGTAACTGAAAGACACGGCTTGAAATTTTAAGTTGAGGTCCTCTTTTGCTTACTGGATAAATCACAGCGTGTCCTTCCAGTGAAAATGCCAGTGTAAACCTCTGCGTCCGAGACAGGGGGAAGGCGTTTTGAAAAGCCCAGAAGTGTGAAACTGGCAACAAAAACCGGTAACAGTGTGGTCTTTGCCACTTGGCTCGGAAAAAGGAGTGAAATTTAAAAGCGTGGAAGCTCTGCCCAGCGATGGGTATCTCCACGTGTAGAAGCGCTTGATGAATTTGCCTTGTATTGAGATGGTACAGAATCTGTATTATCTTAAATTCTTAGTCCTAAACTTTTGTATACATGGACAGAAAGCTGCTCAAAAGTCAGCGTGTGCTGTTACGTATCAGTTAAAGAGAGTCTAAAGAGGTGGCAGACATCCACAAGTTCTTGAAAAAGGGACAAGGCTCATAGTAATGGGGCCGTCGGCATCTCTGGCAGAGCTGGCTGAAGATGTTAAATGCTGTCAAAACAAAGTAGTACATCGACTAGACAGAAATTTGCTGGAGTTGGAGTAGAAAGAAAATTTAGACTTAGGCTGTTAGCCTTCTTAGGCTGTTAGCTGTTAGCCTTCTTCCTGTAGGTATTGAAATTTTACAATCTGTGCTGATGCTCTAGAACGTGTAGACAAAGGAGGACGTGCCCTAGTTCCATCAGGATGGTAGAAAATTTTGGGGAAAGGAATTCAAGGCAGGAACATTAAAATAGTTCAAATCACTTGTAGCTCTGTCTCGTTTCCCATAAAGAAGTATAATTTTGATTTCCAAACAGGTTTGCTCAAAAACTCAATAAAATCGGTTACAGAAGACCCCAGACTGGACAAGGAATCCCTGTTTTTTAAGTCCAATTAATGTAATGGACAGATGGCAACAGTCTATATAGAATTGCTTTCTTCAGTTGGAATATTTCTGGGTTTTTCGAATAAACATCCTGGTGGATAAACCGCATTTGCTCATACATAGTGTTCATGAAACTTTTTTTCACATATGTGTGTATATATATCTCTCAAAGTATTTCAGTAGCTTATTTTTAATAACCAACATCGTAGCAGTGAGAGAAGGGATTTTTACTGAGTGGTGAGCTCCCTGCAGAGGCCTTGGGTTTTTGTTTTTCGAGGACATGAGAAGTCTAGAAGTTATTTCTGTTTTCATAGGTCATCTAAATAGCATCATCTGCTATTTTTTACTCTCTTTACTTACATCTCATATTTAGTGTATAGTCACTGTGGTCTGTGTTGTAACCCAGACACAAAGTTTGGGGGTTGGTTTTTTTTTTTTGAGTTGCATACGGAGCCGTAAGTCTTCAGGGTGGAGAATAACGTATTTTGTTAGTTTCAAATCCTGCATGTTCTTATCTGTGTTCTAGCCCTAACGTTGTTCAGTAGAAAGAAACAAACATTAAATCAGAGCTCAAACAGGTTTATGAAACCCCAGATGCACAACGAAGCAAAATATGGAACTTCTGGAATTTTTCTAAGTCCCTTTTATTTGTAAACCATTCTATCATTAAATACCTCTAAGATTTTGCAAAGCAAACAGTGGAAGCTGAAGTACAGCGTTAGAGAAGAAAAAGGAATAAGTGCAAGATAGGAATTATTTCATGTAGATGCATACTTTAAAAAATCTATTTTTAAACAGTGTTTGAATTTGTTTACCTGCCAGTTTGGCTTGCAATTTTTCCTGGAAGATGGGAGGTATTTGACAGAGTAGAGCTGATCTGCAGACTTTGGAACGAAGTTTTATTATCACCAGCAGAAGTGTTTTGCTTTCAGCCGCAGTGAATGGGAAAGACTTCAGTAGCGTGTAACATCTTCCCGGTGTGTTTATTGCAGGGCAGCCAGGGTGACAGCAAAAACGCCAAGAAAAAGAACAACAAAAAAACCAACAAGAATAAGAGCAGCATCAGCAGAGCTAACAAGAAGAAACCCAGCATGCCGAACGTGTCCAATGATCTGTCTCAGAAGCTGTATGCCACTATGGAGAAGCATAAAGAGGTACTGTCAGAACGCGCTGCCTAAAGAGAAGGTTTTTATTCCTGTAAACCCAGGCACGATGGCACTCGGAACCGAAAAATCAGGAGCAGAACTTTTTTTTTCTGTTGTGTAACAACATGTTGGGAGAGATGAGCCTAAACTAAGTTAATGAGATAACATTTGTAGCCTACAGTTACTGCAACAGAACGTGAGCTTTTTCCTGCAAGATTCTCTAACCTCAATTTTTATTTTTTCCTCCCCATTCATCTACAGGTCTTTTTTGTGATTCATTTACATGCCGGGCCTGTAATTAACACTCTGCCTCCCATTGTGGACCCTGATCCATTACTTAGCTGTGATTTGATGGACGGGCGAGATGCCTTCCTCACCTTAGCCAGAGATAAGCACTGGGAGTTCTCCTCGCTGCGCCGGTCCAAGTGGTCCACGCTCTGCATGCTGGTAGAACTCCACACTCAAGGGCAGGATCGCTTTGTCTACACGTGCAACGAGTGCAAACATCACGTGGAAACAAGGTGGCATTGCACTGTCTGTGAGGTAGGTGGACATCACCGGAGACTTCTGCTCTCATTTACCCTGCAGCCAAGCCCAATTTTAGTTTTTTTTTCTTTTTCGTGTTGCCCAAAGTTCCTCCAAATTAAGCCTATCATGATAGAAGGGCTGCTAAGCCTTAAGGGAAGGTGACTGCCACAGTAGGGGGTACCTCGTCTAGAATACGTGCCTTTATTTTCTCAACAAGGAAAATGCCAGTACTCTAGAGTGGCTGCTACTGTGTCATTTATTCCACTGTGGCTCCTTGGTGTAGATGAGTTTGTAACTTGATTTTAAAGAACTTTAAGACTGGGCAGTAGGGTGTGACTGCATCAGGCTGGCCTGAATCTGCAGGGCACTCACTCCCCCACGTTAAGGGGACACCCGTGAGAGAAGTTAGTGCCGCTGTCTTCATTCTGCTTTATACGTGGTGCTTCACGCACAGCCGGGCGCCTCTCCGGGCTGTCGCAAAGCGGGTGAGGAGGCTGCCACGACTCCTCACCGGTGTCTCTTCGGGCCGGCATTGGTGGTTACCTGCCTTTCAGATCGGACCAAATAATTGCTTCCTAAGCTGGCTCAACACACGTAACGACGAGTGCTTTTACAGCCCAGGTCACTGTGTTAGAGCAATTGTGCCTGGAGTTGTACCTCCTCCTCAAGTCCTCCGGTACCTCTGGAGGGCTTGTGATGACCTCTGGCTGTAGCTGAACACAGGCACACACAAAAATTTGCCTAAGTGCAGCCTGGTTTTCACACTGTGAGCTACTGCCAGCCTTGTGGCAGAAGAGTCTTAATTAATCCCTCTGAGGAAAGCGTTGAGCGGGGTTCTTGGGGCAGGACTGCAGGAAATGGATCATACGCACATGGGGAGTTGAGTGGTGGAAGGAGATACGGCCTTTGGGTAGGATACAGCCTCTGTGTAAGGGAGTGCCCCTCCTCCAGCAAATGAGAACATGGGGGTGGGAGCGGGTCTTCAGGTAAGTGTCTGTCTTAGCGTGAAACTTGCACTTGATTCGAGGGTCCTTTTAGAGGCTAAAAAATTAATATTTCAGAGTAGCAATTAGTAGTCAGTAATTACACTAAAAAATAGCTAAATGGAGAGCCAAACCCTGTTTTTTCAGCCAGTTGACAGTAGGTTTGTCTTACCATGTGGGGGTTTGGGCTCTCCTTGCCTAGATACCTCAGTGGACGTCACAGAAAATTAAATGGTTCCTGTCATCAAAAGGGAAAACCAGAAAAAACACAATTCCTGGGAGTCCTTTTCACGCAATAAAACAAAGACACAATTGTAGCCCTTATTTGCGTTGTCACCCACCATGGTGGCTGCAGACTGGCTCTGATGGGGTTTCTGCCCCTGAAGGTCCACTCCCACGGTCTCTGTAGGCTGTGCAGCCACTTCTCGTCCCTTGGAACCAGGTGTAAATTGCAACGAGAGCTATTCACAGCACATGGCTGTTGTCCTCCTGCTCTTGTGCTGTGTGCTCATACCCGCTGAAACCCACAGGGTGCTTCCTCAGCAGGCTTGCGTTGCTCACCCAGCCCCTCTGCTCTGTAGACAACTGAGCTCTGGTTTTTCTTTGCTTTCAGGACTACGATCTCTGCATTAACTGCTACAACACTAAGAGCCACGACCACAAGATGGTTAAGTGGGGCCTGGGTCTGGACGACGAGAGCAACAGCCAGGGAGAGCAGCAGTCCAAGAGCCCCCAGGAGTCGCGACGGCTGAGCATCCAGCGCTGCATTCAGTCCCTTGTCCACGCCTGTCAGTGCCGCAACGCAAACTGCTCGTTGCCATCCTGCCAGAAGATGAAACGGGTTGTCCAGCACACCAAGGGCTGCAAGCGCAAGACCAACGGCGGCTGTCCGGTGTGCAAACAGCTCATAGCTCTTTGCTGCTACCATGCCAAACACTGCCAAGAGAACAAATGCCCCGTGCCATTCTGTCTCAATATCAAACACAAACTTCGACAGCAGCAGATCCAGCACCGCCTGCAGCAGGCTCAACTCATGCGCAGAAGGATGGCTACCATGAACACCCGAAACGTGCCTCAGCAAAGTTTGCCTTCTCCTACCTCAGCAACGCCTGGTACCCCTACGCAGCAGCCAAGCACGCCGCAAACACCGCAGCCTCCTCCCCAGCCCCAGCCTTCCCCTGTAAGTATGTCACCGGCTGGCTTTCCCAGCGTGTCGAGAACTCAGCCCCCTACTACTGTCTCAACAGGAAAACCCGCAAACCCGGTGTCCGCGCCTCC